CAGTGCATAATACAGTAGCAGGATGTTTTGATTTTTTCTTTTTAGTGTTATAGAATGTTCTAATATCAAATAGGATAAGCAGGCATGCACTGTTGTTTTTTGTTCGTTATTTACAATCGTCAAAATATGGAAGCAACCCAAGTGCTCTTTAGTGGACAAGTGGATGAAAAAGTTGTAGAACATATATATAATGGAATATTACTTGGCCATAAAAAAGAATTAAATCTTACCATTTGTGTAACATGAATGGACCTAGAGGATATTATGCTAAGTGAAGTCAGTCAGTCAGAGAAAGAGAAATACCATATGATTTCACTTATATATAGAATCTAAAGAACACAATAAACAAACAGACAAAATGAAAACAGACTCATAGGTACAGAGAACAGACTGATGATTACCAGAGGGGAGGGGGATTGAGGGATGGGTGGGAAAGTGAAGGGACTGAGAAGTTCAGATTGGTAGTTACAAAATAGTTATGGGGATATAAAGTACAGCATAGGAAATATAATCATTAATGTTGTAATAACTATGTGTGGTGCCAGGTGGGTACTGGAAATATCGGGGGTAATTACACTTCGTAAAATATATAATTATCTAACCAATATGCTGTATACTTGAAACTAATACTAAAAAATATTGAATGTAAACTGTAATTGAAAAAAATTTTTTTAAATTTAGTGCTGAAGGGTATTAGTGCTGTAGGGTATTAGTGCTGAAAGAGACAGCTCAGCAGAGCCAAGTAGAATATCTAGAGCCCAACCCATGAAAAGGCAGAGCAGCCCTGGCCGGTTTGGCTCAGCAGTTAGAGCATCATCCTGCGGTCCAGAGAGACCTGGGTTCAGTTCCCACTAAGGGCACGTACCTTGTTGTCCCTGGCCCTGGTTGGTCGTGCGGGTGGCAGCCACTCGATGTGTCCCTTTCACGTCGATGTTTTTCTCTCTCTCCCTCTCACTCCCTCCTACTCTATCTGAACAAAAAATGGAAAAATGTCTTTGGGTGAATATTAAAAAAAAAGAAAAGAAAAGGCAGAGCAGTGTGGGAAGTGTAATTTTGTGATTTGAACTGTATACAGCTAACTGTTCACAATTTCTCATCCTAACGTTGATTTTGCCTCAGAATGAGGGGTGTACAGTTGAGCCATGTAAGAGGAGGCTATGGGAGAGGGAGTGGACTTTATGGTAGATATGGGATGACATGAGCACAGCTCTTGGGTATCCACAGTGGAGGGGAGGAGCAGCCAATGTTCTCACAGTGGTCAGAGGTGTCACCACTGGGAGAGATGAGGCAAGACAGCCGAGGACTGACTTGAGGGGGTAGGCAAAGCTGAACACCTGGTAGCAGAAAATGTGGGTCAGTGATTTTGCTTTGACTTCTCCAATCATGACACCAAAACTGAAAAGCAAAAGAATGCCAGATTTCGAAGTGTCTGTAGGGAAAATTGTGACGTACTAAATTCAAAGGCTAGTAAGAGGAAGTGGAGACATGTACTAGTCAGTGATTAGTAGAAAGAGCATCTTCAGATTGATCATGAAAGATAAACAAGCTGATGGGAAAAATGGGAAGGTCTTAATATCTATGAGGCCTTTGTGTCCAAAGAGGAACACTTTCTGCTATTTGGACTTTATTTAGGGCTCAATATGTTAAATAAGTATAATAATCATTTTAAAATAAATTTAAGAAGAGTTAGAAATTATTCTTTTAAATACATTAGCAGTAAAAGCATACAGAAATACAATGATTACAAAATTATTACTGCATGTAAACCTTAAAAAAATATATGCACGGAGTTTTAATGAGTTTCTCCAGCACCATTCCCCTTGTAGGGTACTTAGAAAGGTGTAGGTATCTCTGCACCTTTCTAAGAGGGCAAATGACCTGGGGCATGACAGACCAGCCAGAAAGTGAGGCTTTGTACTTCAGAGCCATTAGTTGATAGACTGGGCGACTTATTCTCAGGTACTAAGATGATTTAGACCTAAAGTTCAGCCTGAGCTCCTGTTTTAGATTAAACTATAATAATGATTCTCTCTTATGCTGAGCTTACCATAGCCTGGCCTGGGACCCTGTCAGCTGCCACTCCAGTGCTTCCCCAAATGTTTAAAGGTACCTTGCTTTCCAGTCAGAACTCTGTATGTCAGGCCCTCTGCTTTCTGCTGCCTCAAGTCATGGAAACAGCTGCGTGGCAAAGACATTTTTTTCTTCTTGTGGAAAGCAATGTCAGAGGCTAAAATCTTGGCTTCAGGCTGCATGTAAGTATGATGGCCACTTTTAGTGAGAAACTGGAGACAGACCTTTTATGGCCCTGAGTTCATAGTGATTTTCTCTTAATTTAATTAGATTATTACTAGGTCCATTAAAATGTTTTTATTCTAATATAAAACAACCTGAATTTGTTCTTTTCTACAATATATTTACTTATAGTTGTTGAACCTTTGGCCAAACATTAATTCTTCATCCTTTTTTTTTTTTTTAATAATCCTCATGTGTTTCATTAACTCTTATCTAGTTACTTTGCTGGTGACTGTTGAACAGGCAGTTTACTAAAAGAACATAAGTACCAACAAATGTGAGAAGATGCCAACCTGACTGTTAATGAATAATGTATACCTGTCATTCTTGGACCATGTTGTTGGCATATTTTGAGAAGGTTTATAATAAGGAGTTTGTCAAGGAATCACAGAGATCTAACTCTCACACATCATCATTTTGTGACTGGAGGGAGATGGGTTTCGGGGTGAGGGGGTTGGGGGGGTTGTGGGAGGCTCTTAGTCCTGGTATACCAGAAAGTTTAGAAATATTCAGGCATTTTGGCTGAAAATTTGATTCTTTAGAATTTATCTTCAGGAAATAATCAGGTAACCACTAAATTTATGTGCAGGAAATATTCATTACATCATGAGTTCAAATCATTAGCGATTGGAGGCAGCCCAGATGCCCAGTAGTAGAGGATTCAGTATATCAGATACAGGACTTTCACAGCACAATCAATTATTAGTGTTTATAGGAATGATTCATGAGGTGAAAAAAATCCACCAGCATGAGGCCAAAATACACATAAAAACAGTCTATGTGATGTAAAACATATAGCTATATGTGTGTGTGCGAGTGTGTTCTGGTGTATTTTAAAGGCCACAAGGAGGTACAACCAAAGGTCTGTGGCGTCTGTTTCTGTGAGCTAGTATCACTGCAAGTATTTGTTTACACATACTTACAAATTTTTTAAATTTTCTTAAATGAATGTACATCACTTTTATATTCATAGGAGAAACAACATACTTTCTTTTTTTCACTAGAGAAGAATTATGTGAAAAATAGTCTGACCTTTGATATATAGAAGCATTTTTCTTAGCATAAAAACAATGCAAGCAATTTCAAATAATAGATGAATTTGATTTTCACAGAAAATTTGTCTGAATATCAATAAACATTAGTAAAAGGCTAAAAACAAGCTGTTATAGACATTTACTACAAATATTAAAGACATAGATACATTATGTTGTTTTGAAAGCACATATGGTCTATCTCATTTTGTTTTAAAAGAGATATAGATAATTGTTATATTGAGAAACTACCAGAAGAAAATACACTCTACTGCTGTCGGTACTTTTGTCTGGGCATTGGAGGTGCTTTTAAATATATTTCTTACACTTATCTCCACTTTCCAAACTTTATACACACCAAGAGCAGGCATATGTTTTATAATCACAGGATACACACTCATCATAAAGAGCAATGATCAAGCACCTGGCCTGCTGTACCTGCCAGGGCCTGTCACTTCTTGACAACCTGCTCTTGGGGAGGTCCCAGGGAAGGGTGTGCAGAGCTAATTTTATCAGATTGAAAAACTCTTTTATTTGGGGAGTTGTCTAGAAAGTCTAGTAGATGTATTTGACGCAACTTAAATCCCCTGGTGGGAGGCCAGATTTCCCATGTCCGATTCTGCTAATGAGAGTGACCCACTCAGAAAACTAAGAAAGTAAAAATAATGAGGTTTAAAACTTAAAAAGTCCATGTGCTGAGATTGATACAAAAATTCTTTTATAAATTATTGGAAGTTGATAGTGAATAAAGTTCAGTGTTATTTAAAAGGATTGAAACATGGGTGTGCATATCTGTATCACACATGTTGAATATGAGATATCTTAAATAGGAAATGAAACAAACAACGCCCCCTCCTGGGATGTGGCAGCTGCTCTGAGCATAATCCTGAACTTCTGAGCAGAAGGAACTTGCACTACGATGTGTGGGAGGATGAAGGGCCTGCTGTCCCAGGGCAGGGAGCGCAGCTGGCACCCCATGCGGGACAAAACCAGGCTCAGGTCAGGCGAGGGGCTCTCAAGGTATGCATTCCTTAGCCTCATTGACCACATCACTATTACACATTGGCCTTATCCAAGATAATATTTTTTGATGTGGAAGAGTAAAGAAGTTCTATCCCCTTGCTACCTAGTTTCTTTTTTGCTGAGACCATCACCAGGAGTATAATTATTCAAAACAGTAATTACATTATTGGGTTCTGTGGTGGGAATAAAGTTGAATTATCTTTGCCCATCCTCCCCCTGCAGAAGCTCTTTTACACTCTAGTTACCCCTGACTTCTTGTTGGCATTGCAGAACTCTGAATCCACTCTGCTGAAGAGGGTGGGTTAATGAGACACTTGGTCTCCCAGATCTGGAGAAATTTGGAGTTAAGGCTGTCTTCCTCCTAAAGTCAGATCTTTACTATGGCGTATTAGTTTTAGGTAAAAACAATGGTATTTGCTCTTCATTTAATGAGATCTGTTAAAGTATAAAGTGAGCTCCTGTTTAGCAAATATGGGACCTATGAGCAGATGCCTAGGAGCTGCATTTGTGTGTCCCACTGTGAAACCACCAGTGTTACCCCAAGTCATCATCAAGTGGTCTTTGCAAGTGGTGGGCTAAAACATTCTATGGAGCGGCCCTCAGCCACTGCCCCCACTCACTGCTGGTCTCTGCTTGCTTGTTCTCTCCCGACAGGAGAGCCCCAGAAATCAAGACTTCATGTCCGAAGGAGCCACTACAAGGGGAGCCTGCGGGGGTCCCAGCCCCCCCTGCCAGCGAGGTGGGACAGCCCATTTCGTAACATGAACATTAGAACTTTAATGTAAAATGACAGCAGTGTCATTGTTTAAGTACGAGATGACAGAGCATCAGATATGTGGATGTATGTAGGTGGCCGTGGGAGGGAGAAAAAGCAAGGGCAGGGGCCCTGGGGCTGGGATGGGGCCTCATTGGGATTTAGAGGAAAACCTGTCTCCCTTAGCTGTCTGCTGACAGTTTTCAGACCGCAGGAACATGGAGGCTGCTTGGGCCTGAGAGGAGCTGTGGAAGGACAGAGCTGTCCCTCAGGAAGAGAGTGCGTCCATTCCTGGTAGGTGCTCCTAAAAGTGGGTGCACCTAGTTTCATTTTTTTTTTTTTGCATGTATCTGTCCAATTTCCCCAACACAATTTATTGAAAAGACTGCCTTTATTTCATTTAATGTTTTTGCCTCCTTTGTCAAATATTAATTGAGCATACTGTCTTGGGTTGATCTCTGGGTTCTCTGTTCTGTTCCATAGATCTATATGCCTGTTCTTGTGCCAGTACCAGGCTGTTTTGATTATAATGGCTTTGTAGTGTAACCTGATATCCTGTATTGTGATCCCTCCAACTTTGTTCTTCTTTTTCAAGATTGCTGTGTCTATTTGGGGTCTTTTTGAGTTCCATATAAACTTTTGGAGTTTTTGTTCTAGATCTGTGAAATATGCCATTTGTATTTTAATAGGGATTGCATTGAATCCATAGATTGCTTTGGGTAGTATGGAGATTTTAATGATGTTGTTTCTTCCAATCCATGAACATGGTATATGTTTCCACTTTTTAAAAATAATTAATTAATTAATATTTGTTACAGATGTTTCTCCTTTTTCCCCCACTGATTCTCCCCTCCTCCTCCCTCCTCACCCTGTCCCCAGCTTTGTTGTCCATGTCCATTGTTCATGCATACATGCATATAAGTTCTGTGGTTTATCTCTCCCCCACGACCCCCTCGTCTGGGGACTGTCAGTCTGTACCCCACTTCCACGTCTCTGGGACTACCCCTTTCCTCAGACTGTTATGTTCATTATATTCCACAAATAAGTGAGACCATATGATTCTTGTCTTTCTCTGTTGGGCTTGTTTTGCTTAGGATGATACTTTCCAGGTCCCTCCATATCATCTCAAAGGATAAAAGATCTTTCTTTCTTACAGCTGCATAGTACTCCATTGTGTATATGTACCACTGCTTTTTTATCCATTTGTCTACTGATGGACATTTGGGCTGTTTCCAGATCTTAGCTATTGTAAATAGTGCTGCTATGAACATGGGGGTACATATATTTTTTCTGATTGGTGTTTCAAGCTACTTAGGGTATGTTCCTAGAAGTGGGATCACTGGGTCAAATGGAAGTTCAATTTTTAATTTTTTGAGGTAACACCATATTGTTTTCCATAGTGGCTGCACCAGTCTGCATTCCCACCAGCAGTACATTAGAGTCCCCTTTTCTCCACACCCTCACCAACACTCATTTGATGATTTGTTGATAGTGGCCATTCTGACAGGTGTGAGGTGATACCTTATTGTTATTTTAATTTACATCTCTCTGATGATTAGTGATGTTGAGCATTTCTTCATATGCCTCTTAGCCATTTGTATGTCCTGTTTGGAGAGTATGGTGTACGTTCCTCTGCCCGTTTTTTCATTGGGTTCTTTGTTTTCCTTTTGTTGAGTTGTATGAATACTCTGTATAAATTGGAAATTAACCCCTTATTTGATATTGGCAATTATACTCTCCCATACAGTGGGTTGCCTTTCCATTTTGATGATTGTATCTTTTGTTGTGCAGAAGCTTTTGAGTTTGATGTAGTCCCATGTGTTCATTTTCTCCTTTGTTTCTTGTTGCCTTAGGTGATGTATAAGTGAAAATCCTGCTGTGTATGATGTCTGAAATTTTGTTGCCCACAGTTTCTTCTAGGATTTTATGGATTCATGAGTGACATTTAAGTCTTTTATCCATTTTGAGTTTATTCTTGTGTATGGTGTAAGTTGAAAAAATATGAACGCTTCACAAATTTGCGTGTCATCCTTGCACAGGGACCATGCTGATCTTCTCTGTATCATTCCAATTTTAGTATATGTGCTGCCAAAACGAGCAGTGTTTCCACTTTTTAATATCTTACCTCTATTTTCCTTTTTCAAGTCCTGTAGTTTTCTGAGAACAGGTCTTTTACTTCCTTGGTTAAGTTTACTCCCAAGTATCTTAATTTTTTTGTTACAATGGTATTAATAGTATTAAAAAATTTCTCTTTTTGAGTGTTTATTCTTGGTGTATAAAAATGCCATTGATTTCTGGATGTTAATTTGTATCCTGATACTTTGCTGAATTCATTGATTAAATCTAGTAGTTTTTTGGTGGAGTCTTTAGGGTTTCCTATGTACAATATCATGTCATCTGTGAATGATGACTGTTTCACTGTTTCCTTTCCAATTTGAATGACTTTTATTTTTTCTTCTTGTCTGATCACTGTGGCTAAGACTTCCAGTCTTTGAATAAGAGTGGTGAAAGCAGACATCCCTGTCTTGTTCCTGTTCTTAAGGGAAATGCTTTTAGTTTTTGCCTGTTGAGTATGCTGTTGGCTGTAAGTTTTTTTATATATGGCCTTTATTATGTTGAGATATGATTCCTCTGTTTCCACTTTGCTGAGCATTTTTATCAGAAAAGGGTGCTGGATTTTGTCAAATGCTTTTTTAACATCTATTGAGGTGATCATATGGTTTTTATCTTTTGTTTTGTTTATGTGGTATGTTATATTTATTGATTTGCAAATATTGTACCAGCTTTGCATCCCGGGGATGAATCCCACTTGGTCATGATGAATAATGTTTTTAATGTATTGCTGGATCCAATTTGCTAATATTTTGTATGTTCATCAGGGATATTGACCTATAGTTTTCTTTCTTTGTAGTGTCTTTATCTAGTTTTGGAATTAGGATTATGCTGGCCTCATAAAACGGTTTGGAAGTCTTCCTTCTTGAATTTTTTGGAATAGTTTGAGGAGAATGGGTGTTGGTCTTTCTTTGAATGTTCAGTAGAACTCCCCTGTGAAGCCGTCTAGACCAGGGCTTTTGTTTACTGGGAGATTATTAATTACTGCTTCAATTTCCTTAGTGTAGGCAGCAAAATCTTAGACATCATACGTATCAGAATTTTCACCAATACATCACCTAGGGCAAGAGAAACAAAGGAAGAAAAATTAATAAACAGGCCCAGGGAGACCTTTCTTTTGAGGAGGTGGCAGTGAAGCTGGTAGTTTGAAGGAGCTCTCACACTGCACTCCCAGCTGGAGCAGCAGTACCTGAAACAGACCCAGGTGAGGTGAACTTGGAGAGGTGGAGGTGGGAAAGGAGGGTGAGAGTTTGGGTGTTATCCTTAGTGCCTTGAGAAGTCAGATCTGCCTTCCTGTTCTCTGAAGTTCACTCTGGCTGAAGCCTGCTGGGAAGCAGATGGTGGGCCAAGATGGGAGCTGGGGGAAGGGGGGAGGTCAGAGGCCCTGCTAAGGCAGAGCTGAGGGACTTGCTGGAGAAAGGGTCATGGAGAAGAAGTGAAGAGGACCAGGGATGACTCCCTGAACAACTGAGGCAGGGTGACCTTCAGAGGGTCAGATTTGGGGGTCATAGGAAGTCAGGATTGGTCTTGGACTTTTGATCTAGACATCCAGGTAGCTTGGTCACGTAGGCAGTTGATATAGGAGCTCAGGGCAGAGGGCAGAGACAGGGAGATTACTTTAGGGAATTATCAGGAAAGAAAGTATTTATGGCAATTGACTGGATTGGCTTATCTAAGGAAGTGAGTGTGGTCAGTAGAGGGGAGCAGAGGACCATAGGAAGAAGACCTTGGTCCTCTGGCCCCAAGTCCCCACTGTGTGCTCAGAGGCACTGGCAGTGCCCACCACTCACATCCCCCAGGGCCCTTTGCTTTGTCAGTGTATTGCAAACTGTTGGGAGCACTTAGTCCCACCTGAGCTGCCTGTCCCTGCCTAGTAGACAGTGTGGCCATTTCTGATGTCTGTGTCTCTCTGTTGCAGGTTTGTGTGTCTTAGATTTCCTCCACCATGGCATTCAGGATAGGGAGAAAAGTGTCTCCATGGAGCCTGCACACTCTACCCCAGGACTGGGTTCTGGCTGGCTTGGGCAGTAGGCTTGCCTCTTTCTTCTCCACTGGGCAATCTTTCCATGGGTTTATTTCCATCCATTTTTTTTGGTGAAGTACTGGATCAAATATTTTGCTCATTAAAAAAATTGTTATTTTCTTATTGAGTTTTAAGAGTTCTTTATATATTCTGGATACAGTCCTTTATGGACTACTTGTTTTACAAATATTTTTTCCAGTCTGTAGCTTGACTTTTCATTTTTGTAACAGTGTAAATCAAAAGTTAAAAATTTTGATGACATTGAACTTCTCAATATTTTTCTTGTATCCATCATGTCTTTTTTTGTTTGTGTGTTTTTGTTAATCCTCACCTGAGGTGACTTTTTAAATTAATTTTTTTAGATAGAGTGGAAGGGAGGGATGGGGAGAGAGAGAAGCATCAATGTGAGAGACACATCGATTGGTTGCCTAATGCGTGACCGTGACCAGTGCCCACGGTCAAACCTGCAACCCAGGTACGTACCCTTGACCGGGAATTGAATCCACGAACCCTTGGTCCGAAGACTGATGCTCTAACCACTGAGCAGAACTGGCCAGGGCTACATCATGTCTTTTGTATCATACTTAAGAATTATTCGTTAAACTGCAGGTCTGTAATTTTTTCTCTTTATTCTTTCTTTTGGAAGTTTTCTAGTTTTGGCTATTACATTTAAGTCTGTGTTTTAATATGAATTAATTTTCTATAGGCCCTGGCTGGTGAGGTTCAGTTGGTTGGATGTCATCCTGTGCACCAAAAGGTTGCTGGTTCGATTTCTGGTCAGGGCACATGCCTAGGTTGTGGGCTTAATCTCTGGGTAGGGGGCTTGCAGCTGATTGATGTCCCACTCTCA